AACGCCAAAAACAATGGCTCAGTCCTAGACAAAAACCACTTCCGACCCCAAAACCTGCACTCAATCTATAGAAAGTGATGCTTTGCATTTTGTGGGACATCAAAGGAGTAATGCATTTTGAACTTCTCAATCCACGGCGAACTGTCAATGGAGAGATCTATAGTCAACAACTGGAACGTTTAAATCAAGTCCTTCATCAGAAACGCCCTTCATTCGTATATGGGAAAGGTGTTGTTCTTCTTCTCTACGACAATTCACGTCCACATGTGGCACGCTTGACGCAACACACGATTATGCTATTCATTTAATAAAAGTTTTGTTTTCATATATAAGTTGTTCGGATTTTTTCATCTAAAAAAAGTGGCATTGATTTCTTGACGACCTAATACATCTCTGTATATGTTTATATATGTCTAATACTGTGACTTAAAATAGAAAGATAAATCAGTTTAACAAGCAGTGTACCTGTATCATAAGACAATACGCTCTATTTACAAATGCAGCATCATAGAGTCTGTAGATTCTATATGTAGGGATGTCCAAGGTACTCAATAGGCATAATACAAATATACACGCTAAAAAGCATCAATGATAAAGTTTTATTTTGAAATATGATTGCCACCCACTTTCAGTTGTTTCTCTACCCAACAAACCCCAAAACAAGGCAATAAACCTTTGAGAAGATGCCAAACCAGAAAGTGCCCAAACCACCAAATTGTTCATCTTTCTTCTTGTTGTTCCATTCGAGATAACACTACAACTAAGCTACCACTAACATCAGGTTAAACCTACATCCACTCTAAGTGCACGGTGTCATCGCTTCTTCATGATAACTTCTTTTGTATAAGCTCACACAGGCAGGTTCAATTACTTTAGGACACCCTTTGACAAGACAAATTATTCTCCTTGTCTTTGTTACGCTGTGAAACTCACTTTAAAATATCACCCGTTATGGTTAAACTAACAATCATGCAGTCTAACTCCACTTTCACTAACTTAACGTTTTCTGACTTAACTTTTTATTACTTCTTTTTCACCTAACTTTTTTATAAATCATCTGTCATGACTAAACTACCAATTAGTAACTCTAGATCTGTTTACTTATTTCTTAGTTAACTTGCTTTCTTGTTTCTGCACGTATTTATAACACACGACAAAATAATCTAGAAATCCCTAGCCCTCTAGTAGCAACAATATTACACATAAGTAGAAAAACTTGTAATATTAGAGAAAAATGACGTCAACAATATTACTAAAGCCTAGTACAACAATTAAACTGCATACACAACGTTTGACTCGTACCGAGTAACGTAATGAAACTTGTCACAACTATCGCTTTTAAAATAATTAACTTTAAACGCTCTTGTTATGAAAACTAAATAATCATTAGATATTAAATCACTAAATGAACTAAATAATAACTCTTAAAATAAATAGTCTTGTATATCCAACACCCATAACATTATATTTTATAACATGTATTCATAGAATACACTAACTTTCAGTCAAATGAACAAAATGTCACAAAACAAGTAATAAAAAACATTTTGTAAATGTAATATGATGTAGAAGTAGCAGTGCCAAAAATATTGCAAACAAGGATATAGGGATGATACAGCTATACACATATTATCTCTACATGACGTTCAATATTAAAATTTAATTCTGTTTAAAAATGTTGTATCAGTCTTATAAAACAATAGATTCTATTTACAAGCACTGTACTTGTATCATAAAACAGTACATTCTGTTTACCTGTTCCAATCTTGTATATCCAACAATAAGCCCCTCTTCAATAAAAATATTTACAATATTTTTTATTCTATATACAAAGACTGTTTTCAATTCACACACTAACTCTTCTCATACAGTCTGCATCAATATTTACCGTTCCCTTGTCGGTCTCTCTTCGCATAGGGCCTTCAGTAAGGCTTCACCTTGACATGATCCCTTTTCGTCATCTTGATATTGTCTTGCCTGAGGTTTGTTTTTCCTCATCTATCTGTATACTGGCACACTAGATCTTGTACCTCTTTCTACTTCTTGCCATTTAGTTCTTCACTTATGTTGATGTCCTTGTGCATCTCACTTCCACCCAGGGGTCTTGGGTCTAGCAAGTCTTCATTTTCTATAACGAAGTCACTGTCTTCGGGTTCTGTATCTATGACAGCCACATCTGCCATGCCCATCTGTACCTCAATAGCCGCACCTCTTCAACAGATTGGCATGGTAGATCTTGATCTTCCCATTCACTTTCGCCTTAAAGTGCATTCTGTTGACCACTTCCTGTACTGCAAAAAGGTCCTTTCCACTGCTGGGCGATTTTGTTGGTGGTTGTGGGTAACAGAACTGAGACCTTCTGTCGGATCTTGAAATGTCGATCCTTGACCTTCTTGTCATATAGGTACTTCTTACTGCCTTTGATGTATTTAACTTCACCAGTAAAACTGCTTTGATAGGTCTGGTTCAATACTCTTTTTCCAGTCCTCTATTTTGTTAGCCGCTTTCCATTTTGTATTGTGCTCGACTTTCTCTCGGGTAGTGTCCCGAAGTTTCTACAGTGAAAGGTCTTTCTTCTGCACTACCTTCAGCCCCCGTGGACTTACATTCAGGAGACTTTTAGAGACTTGAAGGGGCTTGATGTTTTGCTTGCTCTTTTTCCCTTGAGCTCTTGTGTAACTGCAGATGTCCCATCATTCTTTTTGCTGTCTAGTTCCTCCAAATTTCTACTACCTGGTATGTTTCCAGTCACCAAGTCGTATATTGGTTCCTTCATATACACGACTTCAAGGTCTCCTATGTAGTATGGAATATCCACCTTTATTTTTGCTGTGGAAAACTTTCTTACTGTCCCATCAATTAGTACCTTGCCTTTCATCTGGTCATCAGATACTAAACTGTTTTTCACTGCTGCACTCTTGCACCCATTGTCTCGTAGGACTTTCAATATTAAAATTTAATTATATTTAAAAGTGCTGTATTTGTCTTATAAAACAATACGTTCTATTTACAAGCACTGTATCTATCTCATACAACAATGCATTCTATTTACCAGTGCTGTAGCTGTCTTATAAAACAGTAAGTTCAATTTACAAGTGCTGTATCTGTCTTATAAAACAATATTATATCGATAAGGTTGTGGCGATCTGATTTCGTCCTTTTTCATGATTAGTACTCAATAAGGTCACATAATGATCTCCATACAGAAGTTTATAACACCCAGTACTCCAAACCAACTTTATACCATTCAACGTTTTATAAGATTCAGTCTATAGTGAACTATGACAAGCCTATGTAGCTTTGGAAACAATGGAAAAACGTTTATATTCCGAAAATTATTAGATAGCACTTAACATATCAGAAAGTACTAGATAACAATCAGTGCTTCAGGGCCCCCCGTGGTTCAGCGATAAGTTTGCAGGCTTATAACACTAAATTCAGCGCTTTATCCATGCGTAGGCCTAATCACAAATACCCTACTGTGTAGCTTTGTTTGTAAAACCAAAGAAAGTTTTAAGAAATACAATTCAGTATTCAGTAGTTAGGAACCTATTAGAATTATCCAAGTAATTTTTTGATGAGCAAAAAAGATCTGCCTACTTTTCATTATGTTTATGCTCCTGTCAGGAAGTAGCACGCTCTTCGTGAGAAGGATCTCAAGCAAAGAAACATATTTTCTGGTCTGATATGTTTAACTTTCAAATCTCTGATGTTAAGTCTAGAAACTACTTTTAATCATGTGGGCAGCGTAGACCTTCTTTGTATTTTGTTTGTTTGTTAGGTTGGTTTATA